ATATATATATGTATATACTTATTAAACTTTGTTAATAAGATAAAAATAATTTTCTTTTTCTTTTATTCTCGTATAATTTTTTATAAGTTTTTATTTTCTTTACACACTACAAATTACTTTATGTCACAAACCATCCTAAAATGAGTAAATTACCTTTCAATTAAGGTATTGTTCGCTTTGGAGTGTGAACATCTGTCACAATTTTGTCTTTAAAATGTGCTCAGAGAATTGAAGGAGGAAGAAATCTTTAAATTGTCTTTGACCTTGACTTTTAAGCAATGTAGAACTATTGTGTGATAAAAACATAAATTTTCAATCAAGGTCTAAGGGGAATGACGGTTCATCCTCAATAAAAAACTTAAGGGACCATTTGTTTCATAATCTCGTTGTTAGGGTTAATCATGATATCGAACCTTAATATTGTCCATTTTGAACCTTAAATTTCATCATGATTTTGTCTTTAAAAAAACATATTTGAAATGTAAAAGATGAAAAAACAAAAAAGTATTTAAAATATTTTAAGCTTCTACTTCTAAACAAAAACAATGTAAAACTATTATACATGGTAGGAAGTAGGAACACATGAAAAGGTGGTTAGGAATAACTTACGTACTACATAAAAAAGAAATAGAATATTTCAAACATTTTAGTGCTATGCGAATGGTAACCTAATATGAAAGTACATGTGGATAAGAATTATTAGAGGTATTTGAAACATAAATATAATTATTAAAGGGACGATAATGAATGCTGAAAAAATATTCAATTTAAAAGTGTCGAAGTATGGGCGTGGATAGTGTAAGTTTAAGAAGAAAAAATTCTCGTATTCGAATTGAGTATTATGCATATGAATTTGCATAAGGTCTATTTATTGCGTATAAGTGAACATAACAGCTCACTGAATGAAGGACCGCAAGACTGAGAAAGGTAAAATGGAAAGAGGTAGAATAAGAATCCAAGGAACAAACCTATGTTTTCGTTTTACACGTAAAAACCCCATATCTCAGCTAATCTCCGAGGCCAATCCCACTATAAACGCTTTTAATAGTTAAGTTATGGAAAAAATTATATGGGACAAATTATTTCTTCCTTATTAATGCATGTTCATGTCTCTAAAATTTAGTGCACTTATATGAAAGGAAAACGTTTCTTTAACAACTATATTTTACCAACTTTTTGACAACGTCACGTGGTGTTGTTTCATTGCTTGGTTTTAAAAGGCTTTTTTAAAAAGGTGGAATTTGTTCAGAAGGGCAATTTTGGAATGAATTTGGATAGAAACTCCTTTTGGCAGTTTATTTTTTCAGATGGCAGTTTATTTTTTCAGATTCACTTGCAGTTTGGTTTTCTCAACTCTCTCTCCACCATTGAAGCTTCCATCTCTCTCCACCATTGAAGCATCCATCTCTCTCCACCGTTTGGGTTCTCTTCGTTCCTCGCTTTTCTTCACTCTCTGTCCACCATTGAAATGTTGTTTCTCTCTCCCCTTTGAGTTTGAGTTCGACTTTTCTTACTTCGTTTCTTGGGTCATTTGGTCACTGTCGATGATTTTTTCTCTCTCTTTATCCATTTCCCCATTTTTTGATGGTGTGACTGTGGGCTCGTTAGCGGTATATATCCCTCGTTTTGGAATTTTGTTGATTTTGGCGTGCATTGTCGTTGGCGACATTTTCGTGGTTGTGTAAGTCTTTGGCTTTTGTCTCCCATTGTGGTTGGCGGTATTTCTCCCAAGGTTTGGGTTTTATCACACACACCGTAGAGGTTGGTATCACCAAGGTTTGGGCTTTTACGCACACACCATTGATTCATTACCAAACTTCACATTAGAAGTTGTAGAAACCATCAACCATGACCAACAAGGGTCCTTCATTCATAAAATCTTAAAAACACTCATAACAAACAAAAAAAAATCATGGGGAGCGCGGTTGTCACACCTGGGTAGCACAGATCAGCTTTCAATACAAAACTACAAATTTAACATGGTAATCGATTACAACCTTTCTGTAAGCGATTACAAGTGCATGTCTCCAGTGTGTATGGTGCAGGACCTAACCTGCGTTGCGAAGACCACCCAGGATGGGTATTCCCTACACAGAAGACTTACCAAACTTCACACTACAAGTTGTGAAAACCATCAACCATGACCAACAAGGGTCCTCCATTGACAATATCATAAAAAGACACTCACAACAAACAAAAAACAATCATGGGGAGCGCAATTGTCACATTTGGGTAGCGCAGATCAACTTTCAGTACAAAACTACAATTTTAACCTGGTAATCGATTACAACTTCTCTATAAGCGATTACAAGTGCATGTGTCCAGTGTGTATGGTGTAGGAACATGTTAGCTCATTGAATTGTTGAGAAAAAATGTCATTTAGGTGCTTTCATCTAAGTTAGATGAGCTCCATAAGCATTTTTGGCCAATTTCTGCCCTGGTAATCGATTACAGGGGTCTTGTAATCGATTACCAGAGGAAAAAGGGTAATTTATACAGAAACTTCAACTATACTCCCCAGCTAGATGAACACTGCTCCCCAACTCTGTTTTTCTAACCTTTGCTACTTGTTTTGTTCTTAACTTTCTCCACCGAACTCCAAATGACTTGATTCTTGTTTGGTTGGAATCTAGACCCAAAGAACTTTCCAACAAAACAAGAATCAACTCATTTGGAGTTCGGTGGAGAAAGTTATGAGCAAAACAACCAGAAAAGGTCAGAGGTGGTAGAAATATATAAAACGTTAACTTTAAGGAATTAACTGCACCTACTCAGATGTCCAAAAATTATAAATTAGTAGTCATTGGAAATATTTTTTAGTTTACTTTCTAATAAAAAAAGAATCACATCATTTGGAGGTCTGTGGAAAAAGTTATGATTAAAATAGTCAACAAAGGTCAAAGTTGATAGCATGGGTTATGCACCTCACCTCAAATGGAGAAAACCACCTAAATGGACATTTTTATTTTGAAGAAATCAATGACCTAACCTCATTATTGGTGTAGGGAGCTCACCGAATAACATTGAACTCACTCACCCATCTTAAAAAAGGAAAAATTCAACAAAAATAGAGAATGGGGAGCAGTGTTCATCTAGTTGGGGAGTACAGTTGAAGTTTCTGTACAAATTACCCTTTTTCCTCTGGTAATTTGTACACAAACTTCAACTGTACTCCCCAGGTAGATGAGCACTGCTCCCCAAAGTCGTTTTTGTGTCCCTATAAGTGATCTTTTCTATTTCTTTTGCATGGATGACTTGCTCATCATTGATGGTATCAAGTGCATAAAAAAACAGTTGGCCCACTCAATTGTGGATGAAACACATGTTGCTCATCATTGATGGTGTCAAGTGTATCAAAAGACAGTTTCTACCTATTCAATTGTGGAGGAAAAAACTCCTATAGGTGTTTGAACCAAGGTAGTTCAAGTTTATGACAATTTTTGCACAACTCGTAGAGGAAGAACTTATTAACTTCCGCAATCAATTTGATCGACAACCATCTTCTTAGATTATATTTCATTGTATACTGTTATGTATCTTTTCATTTCAAAACTTGTTGTTTCATGAAATGTCATTACGTTTTTTTATTAATGTATGTGCTTTTTAATATTGTTATAATTTTTCATTACTCAATACCCTTCATTATTTCGTTTATATTTGTTTAATATTGAAGTATTCCAACTTGAAGTGTTCCATTAATGATCCATCCATAAAACCTTCAAAAGA